GTTGCTTATCTAAGCATAGTTTCTTTTTTGAAGGCACATGGGTTCTTGTGATATTCCTCTTTTTAGAGCCCGCTCCTGGAAGTGGATTTTTTGGGATAGTTTTCTTTCCTCTGCTCCTACCTCTACCTCGTCCACGGGAGGAGTTTCCACCTCTTCCCACTAAGCTCTTGCTACCATTTGGGGAGTGGAATGGAATTATTTGATCATCAACCTGGTCCCCAAGACGTAGAGATAGAGGTGCTCTATTTTGGGGACTTCTAGGATGAAAGTCTATGTGCTGAGAGAGAGGTGAAGTCTCTTAAGGTAGAATTGGGTTTGAAGCCCCCAATCTATTATGAATACTAGTTCTTCTCTCTAGAGCAGAGGTCACTGGAGAGACACGGAGGAGAAGATGGCTTCTTAAATCAGTGTTGTCATCATCAAGGTGGATCTCCACATCTTAGAGATTACTATTGTGGCCTTGGTTTTCTAACTGGAAATTAGAAATTGGGACAGTAATCGGCAGAGACACTCTTTCAAGGGCTGGGCGCCGAGATTTGGTGGTTAAGGAATTATCCATCTCTCCTCTTGCTTGGCTCGGGATCGATTTAGTTTGGGAGGAGGTAATGAAGGTTTTTTCGTGGCTGTGAGAGCGTCAAGGGGAAACATGATAAGAGCCTGAGGAGACACGATGGGAGGACCCCTGAAAATTTGATTGAGATACTTCTCGCCAGAGTTGAGGAGGACGATTACCCTGATTGGAGTGTAGAGGGCTGCGAGACCTCTGAGCAACTCGGTAAGGAAGAGGTTTTCTTCCCACTTCTCTAACTATAAATTTCTCTAGTCTTTTCACTCCGATATTGATCTTTACTAGCCTCTCTAGACTTGAAAGTAAACTGGTTGGAGGAGGAATGCCTGCTAGTGTAATGGTTGGCTTCCCCATCATCCTTCCTGTCCCACCGTCTCTGTTTTGTAGATTCAATACGAAGCAGTGTATTTCCTCGGTTGATTCCTCTGTTTTGGTGGTGAGTCGTTTTGGTTAGTTTGCCGAACCGCATTCTTGTTCTTCATGATCTAGTCTCATGCAAAGAAAGCAGTGCTTGTGGAGACTCTCATATTCAAACTCGATCCAAATATCTTCACCTGAGGAGAACTGAATAGAACGTCTCGTAACCAATGGAAGCAATGCATTAATCTCGACCTGGACTTTACCTTCATCCGAATCCGTCTTAGATACATG